GCTAACTCAACCTTATCTTGGGAACCCTGTCTCTCGCTTACTTGTCGCCATCAAAACATCTTTGTCGCGAAGCATATAATGAAACCATAATGGGAGCCATCAACAAGTAACTTCTTAAGTTACGGGCAAATAAAACCCTGACGTCCTGCACGCTGACCAAAGGTGTAGGAGGACACATGTGGACGAGCACAGCGGAACTTTATACCATTTCGCTTCGTACTATACCTGCCAAACACTTGCCCAGAAATTGGACATGCGTCTTTTGAGGTCACCGTCTGCCAGGTTTGTTCAGTGGGTGTAAAGTTTAGAGCCAGACACCGTCAACCCTCAACCCAACTCCTCCCCAAAATGTCCTTGAACAGAGAAACCGTTCTCAAGTACCTTCTACATATGGGCAGTTCTCTGAATTAGGGTCCCTTTTTAGGTCCCCAATATAGTACGGCACCATATGGACCCTAAAAGGGACCCTAATTTGGAGAACTACCCATATACTAGAGCCCTACCGAAGCATCTTTCCAGGTCTCCCTTTCCGGCACGCCTGTGGAGATCCCTGTCAGAATTTGCGGTGTGGGTTTCGGTGGGTTTAGGGTGTTCTCAAGCAAAGCAGCAGTGACAACCACATAAACCCCAAACGGGGTTGATGGGTTTTTGGGTTTAAGGTTTCTGGTTAGGGTTTCAGGTTTGGGGTTTACAGCTTATAGTTTAAGGTTTGGGGCTTCGTTGGGCGGCAGCTCCCGGTTCCAACAAGGATCTTTGCATCTTAAGGGGTGACCTCGAGTCGTGTAGTGACCTATTGCTCTGAATAGTCTAAACATTGTCTACTTGTTACGGCCCCTATTTTAGCTTTAGCCTCATCCTGAAGCAGTTTTGGCTAAGAGTTTCTGTCAGTGTTGGGGGTGAGAGCTGGCACTGACACGGTAGATTAGGAAATAGAGTATGCGCTTCAGGCCTTGTTCTCATTACCTTTGGCGAAGCTGCGCGGAAGGCCGGGAAGCACTACAACTCCAGCAACCCTCAAACACCTAGAGACACCTGACACTCTGACACCACTAAACCCAAGGAACAAGATGGCAGACCTGCATTCGCAGTTCGAGTTTATCCTGCCAGGACGAGTCTGGGGGTTCAGGGTTTAGGGGTTGGTGGTTAGTCGACTCTTCCTAAACCCAAAACCCCTAAACCCTAAACCCTAAACCCTAAACCCTAAACCCTAAACCCCGCTTGCCGACATTTCTCTTTTGAAGGAGTCCGACCTTGTGCTGGGTCGTTCACGATGTTGAGATCACGAACCCTGAGGCCCCTAACTCCTAAGCCCTGGACCCTAAACCCTAAACCCTAAACCCTAAACCCTCGTTCGGAATCCTCCGATTGCGGCGAGATCCTAGGTCCTGAGCCCTACCTGGAAATCCAAAACCTGCGGTTCCAGAGTGGACCCCGAAGGTAAAGGGGTCTTAACCTGCCCTGTTTGCAGGATTTGGGAGAGAACGCTAAACCCTAAACCCTAAACCCTAAACCCCTAAACCCCTAAACCCTGAACCCTAAACTCTAAACCCCTAAACCCTAAACCCTAAATCCCTACACCGCAACACCACAAGAGCTTCAGAGGTTTCGAGGTGTAGGGTTCGGGATCCAGGGTGTAGGGCGAACTCCAAAGCCCTGGCCGCTAGGGTTTAGGGTCTAGGGGTTTA